TTTATTTCTAGGCTAGATTTGCATATTTATACTTTCATTCTATTGCTACCCCGGTGTTTTTTGCACCCGCGCTTTCATTTAAGGATATACAGTACATGCCTAAATCTTAGAGCTACAAAATTAAATGTTGCCCATTACCTTCCTGGCCTTAGTAGTGCTGGATCCATCAGCTCTTTCCTATTCGTCATACCAATAACAAGAACATTACTAGATTGACTGGTAGGAAAAAAGGAAGACAGACAATATAATTTTGGCTTCTGACATTAAAAATTAACTTGATAGTGTTAATTACAAGCAGAAATTAAGTACAAAGTACCATATACACCTTATATTTTGTAGAGATTAAATTTCGCGATTCTGGCATTTTAGAAAAATTCACAAAATTAAAATCCACAAAATAGAGTGCTGATTGTATAGTAGGTGTGCTAATTACATTAAAATCGCGAGATTTTTATTCGCAAATACAAAAATGCAGCCAAATCGCAAAAATTTTATACCCACAAAATATACGGCATATACGGTACATACATGTAGTCACCTCAATCCATCCAGTAATGTTAATAATTGATTCACTAAACTGTCGTAAGCAGCTCCAGCAGAAGACTGATCAATCTTACCTAAAAACAATAAAAATATGATATTATTCATTCTGATACATACATGTACATGTACACTGTACATGTACAGTGCATGAATGCCATTATTATGCTCTGTGAAAAAAGCTTGAGTTGATTTTTAATTGTAATTTTAGAGTTATTAAAAGGGTATTGCATACTATTGCTGGTACATGTACATGTATGTGTTGAATACCTCTTGGTTTGCAGATTGCCTCAATCTCATCAATAATTATAACATACAGTTCACTAGCATCACCATGAGTCTTATAGGCATCAGCAGCTTCTTGAAAATAATATCTATCAACATAATATTATGAATATGTTATTAGCGTTTTCAAGTGATGACAGTTGCATTAAATGCACACGTACATAAACATACCTTAGATTTCTTTCACTCTCTCCTAAAAATTTACTCACAATTTCAGGACCATTGATCAACTGAACCTTTTGCAAAGAGACAGATTAGCATTAATTTACATGTATGTGTAGTGACTACATGTACATGTATTGTAGAATTAGTTTTACCTGTTTTGATCCTAATAAATGAGCCACTGTTCTTGCTAGTAGAGTCTTACCAGCACCAGGTGGACCATATAATAAGATACCCTGGAGGTAGAGAGGGGGAGAAGGAAGAGAAAGAATGAAACGCAATAAAACAATAACTACCTTTATATGTGTAATACCTAACTGAGCCAATAAATCAGGTGACACATCTAAAAATAAATAGTAATATAAATGTTTACACAACAATACATGTACATTTATAATTACTGTACTAGTTAAATGCAATAATTAAACTATGCATGTAAATCGTACCTCTTGAGGCAAAAGCTCTTCTATACAGTTCCTCTATCTCCTTCTTCAGTCCACCCACACCAAGCTCAACAAATCTACTAAACTTGTCCTTAAAATTAACGGCTTCTCGATAAGACACGCCCCCAGACAAAACAGCAACAACACCAGATGAACTAGCACAATAATGAGATGAGCTTCCTTGACAATCTTTCACTGCCAACTTGACATCAAGTCCTTCTCCTCTCCCTCCAGCCAGGGTACAATTAATAACATAAGGAGATACTAGTATAGGGTCAGTGCAATGAGTGGTATCACCAATAAGAATACTATAAGTAGATTTTAAGTGATGAGTACAGTCTGAGAGGGTTTGGGGTGTCAATTGAAGTCTATCTGTGTTAATGGTAGCCGATTGTTGAGCTGATTGTGTGCTGTATTGTGGGCAGAGAGTGTGAAATCCAAGTCCAATTAAGGAGAGGGTCTGTCCACCATTGTAATGACAATTGGAGGTGGTTTTTGTGGGAGAGGAGTTTATACAGCCTGATACTGTGAAAAAATAGAGAAAAATGGAAGAGAGAGAAAGAAAAAGAGAATATGAAGAAAAAGATATTTAATGCAACATTATTTTTGCATTTTTGGCACCACTTTCTCAAAAAAGCATGGGCAGGATATTTTTAGAAAATGGCACAAAAGTAGGCTATATTTTTTCGGAAATTGGAATTATTTTAGCACAATCACTATACCAGCTTCAATGATGATACGGTTATCCTCCAGGAATACTGGGCAGCCATATTGACTTGGAGGAAAATCAACAAAATAATTACAAATCAACTTCTTGTCTCCTTCATACGCCTTGAGTGGAGCAAAAGCAGATGGTGACACTTCCTTATTTGGATCACACGGAAACATTAAAACTGTTCGACGAGGCTTGCTAGTCACTTCACAAGTTGCTCCATTGTCAAGGATTAATTGGAAGCCACTGCTGGCCATACTAACCTCTAATGACTGTACACTGATAGTTTTACCTGCAGGTACATTAAAATAATAAATAAAACAATTGAATAGTTAATTCATTAATACGTAAATTAATTTGACAGTAAATAATACATCATTAAAATTTATAACACTGTATCCCCTAATTGTTCAAATAAAAGCCTGACTAAAATATTTATTTATTTTTTGTCTGGTCTGGGTGTCAGCAATTTTTGTTGACATTCCATCAGGTTGTAAAGTTTATAATAATAATAATAATAATAAATAAACGCCTGGTACTAATATCTTTGCATAAATATGCATATTTTACTTGATATACACATGCAGGTACCCTACATCTTAGAATATCCCAAATGGCTGAACTTTTTAAGCTGAGTTCCTTGATCCCAAGGTTTCAAGTGTGAAATCCAGTTTTGGCATTTTTAATTTATTTTACGCAATTTTTGTCCTGCAAAAAATAAACACCCAGGCTTTTATTTGAACATTTATAGCACTCTCATATATAAAGGCTATAATACAATGTAGGCTGTAATACTTACATACCTGCTACAGTAGGCTTGATTCCAGGCACAGTAATACAACTACCCTGAATGTGCTCATTACCACACTTAACCAATCTACCATTGCATAGACTCAATGTAATGTGAGCACCTCTTGGACTCGGTAACGTCACAACATAATGTAGCGAGGAGGGGGAGGACATCAGCTCTGTTAGTGAGTACAGGAGTTGGTGAGGATTCTCTGCTGGTGACCATGAACATTGTGAAACTGTTCGACACTAAAATGATACAAAACCCAATCATATGCAATGTACATTTATACATGCATG